TAAAAGAGAACACAAACAAACAGAAGAACACTCCATGCTCATGGATAGGAAGAATCAATATGGTGAAAATGGCCATACTGCCCAAAGTAATTTACAGACTCAATGGTATCCCCATCAAGCTACCACTGACTTTCATTACAGAATTAGAAAAAACTACTTTAATTTTTATATGGAACCAAAAAAGAGCCTGTATAACCAAGACAATCCTATGCAAAAAAAAACACAAAAAAACAAAAAAACAAAGCTGGAGGCATCTCACCACCTGACTTCAAACTATACTATAAGACTATAGTAACCAAAATAGCACGATACTGGTACCAAAACAGATACATAGACCAATGGAACAGAACAGAGGCCTCAGAAATAACACCACACATCTACAACCATCTGATCTTTGACAAACCTGACAAAAAAAAGAAATGGGGACAGGATTCCCTATTTAATAAATGGTTTTGGGAAAACTGGCTAGCCATATGCAGAAAATTGAAATTGGACCCTTTCCTTACACCTTATACAAAAATTAACTCAAGATGGATTAAAGACTTAAACGTAAGACCTAAAACCATACAAACCCTAGAACAACACCTAGGCAATACCATTCAGGACATAGGCAAGGGCAAAGATTTCATGATTAAAACACCAAAAACAATGGCAACAAAAGCCAAAATTGACAAATGGGATCTAATTAAACTCAAGAGCTTCCGCACAGCAAAATAAACTACCATCAGGGTGAACAGGCAACCTACAGAATGGGAGAAAGTTTTTGCAATCTATGCATTTGACAAAGGGCTAATATCCACGAAGAGCTTAAACAAATTTATAAGAAAAATACAAACAACCCCATTCAAAAGTGAGCAAAGGATATGAACAGACACTTCTCAAAAAAAGACATTTTTGCAGCCAACAAACATGAAAAAAAAGCTCATCATCACTGATCATCAAAGAAATACAAATCAAAACCACAATGAGATACCATCTCATGCCAGTTAGAATGGTGATCATTAAAAAGTCAGGAAACAACAGATGCTGGAGAGGATGTGGAGCAATAGGAATACTTTTACACTGTTGGTGGGAGTGTAACTAGCTCAACCATTGTGGAAGACAGTGTGGCCATTCCTCAAGGACCTAGAACCAGAAATAACCATTTGACCCATTACTGGGTATATACCCAAAGGATTACAAATCATTCTACTATAAAGACACATGCACACGTATGTTTATTGCGGCACTGTTCACAATAGCAAAGACTTGGAACCAATCCAAATGTCCATCAGTGATAGAATGGATTAAGAAAATGTGGCACATATACAACACAGTATACTATGCAGCCATAAAAAAGTATGAGTTCATGTCCTTTGCAGGGACTGGATGAAGCTGGAAACCATCATTCTCAGCAAACTAACAGAGGAACAGAAAATCAAACACCACATGTTCTCACTCATAATTGGGAGTTGAACAATGAGAATACTTGGACACAGGGAGGGGAACATCACACACCAGGGCCTTTTGCGGGGTGGAGGGCTAGGGGAGGGATAGCATTAGGAGAACTACCTAATCTAGATGACGGTTTGATGGGTGCAGCAAACCACCATGGCATGTGTATACTATGTAACAAACCTGCATGTTCTGTACATGTATCCCAGAACGTAAAGTATATAAAATAAATAAAGAAAAAGAAAAAGAAAGCCACCTATACTAGCTCACTCATGTTTAAATTTAATTTTTGTAAATTAAAAATATATATAATGATTATGTGAAGGCAGTAGAATGTTGAGAGAGGCAAATAGTACAGGATTAAGCCCCACAGACTCTAGAGCCAGACTACCTGGCTTTGTGTCCTGGCTGTGCCGCTTACCGGCAGTGTGATTTTTGGATAAGTGCTTAATTGTTCTGTGCCTCAGCTTTGTCATCTGTAAAATGAGGGATAATAATAGTATTAAGATTATATTTTAATATAGGTTTTATATTCTATTACTATATAATGTTATGAGGATTAAATGACTTAACTGCTTTTGAAGTGCTTAGAACAGTATTTGATACATAACATTCCTTGGTAGGCATTTACGTTATTACCACTTTTCTCCTACAATAGCAATTTTGTAATGGACAGTTTGTTTTAACGAATGTCCATGCACACTTATTCAATTATTCTGTTAGATAAATTCCTAGACATGGAATGGCTACATCAAAGGATGTGTACATTTTAAATTCTGGTAAAGAGATTGCATGAAAAATTGGCACATTATAAAGGATACACCAATTTTTGCTCCCTCTGAACAGTACTGAATCTAAGTATAGTTGTATGTTTCAAAATCTAGTTCTCAAACTTTGGTTTTCATAAGAAACACCTAAGTGCTTATTAAAATAGTGAATTATCAGGACCCTCCTGCAGAGATTCAGTAGATCCAGTATGAAAACGTGGAATCTGCATTTTCTTTTTTTGAGATGGAGTCTTGCTCTGTTGCCCAGGCTGGAGTGCAGTGGCACCATCTCTGCTCACTGTAACTTCCTCCTCCTGGGTTCAAGCGATTCTCCTGCCTCAGCCTCCCAAGCAGCTGGGACTACAGGTGTGTGCCACCACACCCAGCCAATTTTTGTATTTTTAGTAGAGACAGGGTTTCACCATATTGGCCAGGCTGTTCTCAAACTCCTGACCTCGTGATCCACCTGCCACGGCCTCCCAAAGTGCTGGGATTACAAGTGTGAGCCACCGTGCCCCGCCGGAAGCTGCATTTCCTTAAACAACACCTTAAGTAATTCTGATGCAGGTGGCCAGTGGATTGAGAAATATTGTGCCTTATCTTCGACTTCCCTTCTAGCACTGATAACTAAAACCCTACTGACATGATAGTCATGTTCAGCAAAAACAATTCTACCAGGAGCTGGGCAGAAAATACCATATTTCACAAGCCAACTATTAATACATGTTTTTTTTTCTTTATGCGGTATAAGAAATTAACACCTTTTTGGGTGGGTGCAGTGGCTCACGGCTGTAATCCCAATACTCTGGGAGGCCAAGGTGGGTGGATGGCATGAGGTCAGGAGTTCGAGACCAGCCTGGCCAGTGTGCTGAAACCCCATCTCTACTAAAAATACAAAAATTAGCCAGGCATGGTGGCAGGCGCCTGTAGTCCCAGCTATTCAGGAGGCTGAGGCAGGAGAATCACTTGAACTTGGGAGGCAGAGCTTGCACATTTCCATCAGTGACAAATTGTTCAGTTATATCTCCAAATCTGTTCACACTTAATTTTCCCAATGTAGATCTCATCATTTCGAATGTCGTTTTTAATCCTACAAATGTGTCAGACTTCTACACAGTATTCCAAAGTGCAAAATAAAACCAGTTTTTAAGTGTGAGATAAAAGCCTGAGGCTAGCAGTCTTGCACAGTTGGGCAGACGCAAATGTTCTGTTTTTGTATATGTAAGACTTTTTGGCCTGGGTGTGCACCAAGATTGATATTTTTTTAAGCTACCAGTCTAATTAGTTTGTTAGCTCCCCTTCTCATAAAGGCTGGATGCAGAAGGTTGGAAAGAGGTCACTGTGTGCCAGCATCAGAGGCAGCTGTCAAGCAAAACAAGACTCCCTGGACTAGCTAAATAAAATTTTTAAATTGGAAGAAATCAGGGCCAGTCATTCAAATTAATAAGGTAATATCACACCTTTAACACCAACACATTTATAACTTAGTCTAGTTACAGTCTACCTTTATTTAAAATAATAAGGATGAATTCCAGAAACAGAGAAGTTGCTTTTAACAAAGAGTTTGCTTCTCAGCTAATCATTCTGCCAAATAAGTAAATATGTAAAGATTATTACTATTTTAGGCTAACATTTCAGAGCTTAATTCCACTTGATTATGTGAGTGCCCTGTGATCTCACCTCAACCTTTCCCTGATAATATGCTTCCTTCCTTCTATCTCCACAGATGACATATTTCTCTTCCCTTCCCCTCCTCATCCCTTTTGGCTACCGTATGGAGTCTTTCCTTCTTTTCACTCCTAAACTCAAAAGATTTCTCTCTACTTTCACATCATTTACTTTCCTATTGATTCCCAGCAAGATGGTTTGTAACCCATCTATTCCTCTGATGAACCAGCAGTGTTGAAAGCCACAAAAAATTTTCTCAAGGGTTAAATTCAATGGACATTGACTCTCCGACCTCATGCCTACTCAGTACTTTGTTAGGCCCAAAGACTTTTTTCTCTTGTCTTTCTTTTCCTTTTCTTCTCCTTTTCCTCTTTTTTTTTTTTTTTTTTTTGAGATAGAGTCTCACTCTGTTGCCCAGGCTGGAGTACAGTGGCATGATTTGGCTCACTGCAAACTCTGTCTCCCAGGTAGGTTCAAGCAATCCTTCTGCCTCAGCCCCCCAGTAACTGGGATTACAGACACATGCCACTATACCCAGCTAATTTTTTTACTTTTAGTAGAGACAGGGTTTTGCCATGTTGGCCAGGCTGGTCTTGAACTCCGGACCTCAGGTGATCACCCACCTCAGCTTCCCAAAGTGCTGGGATTACAGACGTGAGCCACCGTGACCGGCCTTCTTCTTTTCATTTTTATTTTTGGTCAGCATGTTGTTTTAGCAAAAGTTGTATTTCTTCATTTCAGGCACTCACCTGTATCTTCAAACATTGCTGCCTGACCACGAGGACATGTGCACATTTATAATGATGCATAGACTATTGTGAATCTCTCTTGACCTCTCTCCCTCTAGTTCCCACTCTTCTTCTCAAAGATAATTTATGGCCATCTAGCTCTTTTCATATCTATAAATTTATCATCCAACTTATAATTCACTCTAATAACGTCAAATATTCTGTCCAAGCAATTATCCTAATTTTGACATTTTCAGTCTTTACTGCTGAAATCCCAGTTTTAGATTGCCAACTAATTTCCAGTATGAACTCTATGGTGGCAAGCAAGGTATTGCTTCTGATGAAAGACTTTGCCACATACATCACATTTATATTGTTTCTCTCTTGAATGGGTTACGTGATGTCTCCTTAAGTGTGAGCTATAATTAAAGGCTTTGCCACACTCATTACATTGGAAAGGTTTTTCTCTCATGTGTACTTCCTGTATTTGTGTGAATAATGAAGAATGGAGGAAATTCTTCCCATACTTATTAGAAATATGGGTTTTGAGCCTACAAGAAATTATTTGGGATGTTGAAGCTGAGGAAGCATCATTGATAGACAGGTCCACTTGATTACCAATTTTTCATTCAGTCTGAAATATGTGCAGTTCAGGCAGATGCAAATGAAAGCTTAATCCAAGCTGGTCTTTAATAGGCTTGTTTCTAGCATGACTTTGATTATGTCGGTCTGTACTACCAGTTAACTCTTTGATTTCTGTCATGGGTGCTTCATGGCCATTTCTTTCAATTTCTTGCCACTGAAACTGAAAGTCATGCATATCTTTCTCAATTTCTGGGAAGCAAAAATCTCCACTGTGATAATTTTCATGTCTTTCCAAAGTCCCTGTGTGGAACACTTCTGTATTGCCTTGCCCTGTTGATGAGAACTCCATCATGGATTTTAAAGAGCTACCCACAGACTCCAGGTTCCTGTAGTTCTCCAACATCACTTCCCTGTATAAAGCCCTCTGCATAGGGTTCAGGCATTTCCACTCCTCCACTGAGAATTCTATAGCCACATCCCTGAAATTCTATAGCCACATTCCTCAAGTGTCCCTGAGGAAGAGCTATCCCTGGCTCCTTTTCCTTGCTCTTGTTGGTAGCTTCCTTACATAACATGAGTCTTTGGAAATCAATCCCAGACGTCTCAATTTGTACTCAGTTGAGAAAGAGGGGCCAGAATTTCCAGGTCTGTGGGGACCCCACTTCCCTGGTATAGCAGCACCAGAGAACTCAAGACCCTTTCTTTTATGAGTCCTTTATTGCTTACTCATTTATGCTTCTTTAGTTACTAAATCTGATGCAGAAGGAAGCCAAGATTTAAGGCATTGGAGGACATACCACTGGCTAGTGACAAGGCTGTTAAATAACATCAAGGTTCTTGATGTTCACATTTAGTATTCTTTTCCCTAGCTAGGTGCAGTGGCTCACGCCTGTAATCCCAACACTTCGGGAGGCGAAGGTGGGGGATCACTTGAGTTCAGGAATTTGAGACCAGCCTGGGCAACAGAGCAAGACACCATCTCTACAAAAAAATGTAAAATTAGCCAGGCATGGTAGTGCATATCTGTAGTTCCAGCTACTTGGGAGGCTGAGATGGGAGGATCACTTGAACCCTGATATTCAGGACTGCAGTGAGTTATGATCACACCACTGTACTCCAGCCTGGGCTACAGAGACTCTGTCTAAATAAATAAATAAGAAAAATAAAACAGTATTCTTTCAATTGAGTCAGTTTGCAATCCTGACAAGAGAATTTACTACATTTTATCATAGGGCTCTGTGATGTAATGGTGAGCACTCTGGACTCTGAATCCAGAGAATTTACTGCATTCATGTAGTATTTTCTAATCCAAACAGTTTAGTAAGCAATGTTGTCCTGAATATTAACGTAATTTTAGGATGCTGAAAGAGTTCATTAAACTGACCAAAATATTAAGCATTAAACTAAAAAGCAAATTTACAAAGAAAAGGTAGATTTTATTTTTAAAAATTATTCCTAAAAATGTTCAATTTGAACCTAAGGAGACTTCGAGAATGTAGTAGTGATGAGGATTCTGATTCTAGCTAACATTCCTTGATGATGGATTTCATCTCATCTTCACAGCATCCCCATGAGGTATGTATGTATTATTAGGCCTGTTTATTGATAGATAAATGGAGGTTTATGAACACTAAGTAACTTGGACAAGGTCATGTAGTTAGAGCCAGAGCTATAACCTAGGTCACCTGGCCTGATTCCAAACCTTGTGTTCTCAATTGAGAGGAAATGTGTGGGCCAAATTATTCCGGATTTCTCAGAAAGTCTGCAGTTCACCGCATTGTTTCCTAATATTTTTTAAATGCCGGCAAATCTTTTCAATAGACTCTAATCCTAAATTATAGTGCTGATGTTTTCCAGGAATTAGACAAATCATGAACAAAGTGAGTGTTTCTCTGCAGAGCATTCTGCAGAACACAGGTAAGAGCAGACCCCTCCACGGCAAAGCTTCTCTTTGCCCAAGCAGTTGTAGAGACTGTCTTGTTTGTTATTCCTCGTAGAGAGACCACTTTCCTGCTGAAAGTGGTTCGTTCAGAAAATATGTTTGGGAAGGGGTAACACATGTGAGGAGAGCAGCTGTGAACACTCATACAGCTCTTTGTTCCCTAACATTTTCTATATTCAGCTCATAATCCACTTGAGCAGTGGTGCCAGCTGGCAGGTCCAGCAGCTCATTTGTCTTCTCATTTTCAGCAGATCATCTAGTTTCTTCCCTGTGTGTTTCTACCCCCATTTCATAGTCACTCACCTATTGATAAACAGGTTCTGCCTAAAACACGTCTCATCTGCCAATCCATCAAGGCAGAATATGAAATTTTCCCAAACTCCAAATTACTGTTGGAGTCCTTAATATAACATACATATTTAAATGGGAACTGTGAACACACACAGAGGATGAAGGGCTGAAGTAATGAGTCCTCGTGCCTGGGTTCTAGGCCATCTGATAGTGGTTTACCCTCTTTGGCCTCTGTTCCCTCATTTACTTTGCAGATTAATTAAGGTTACTAATTCTTATGGGTTTTAAAGGATGCTGAATTCCTAACTCCCAGTCCCTGTGAATATGACCTGATTTAGAAACATGGGCCGGGCACGATGGCCTACACCTATAATCCCAGCACTTTGGGAGGCCGAGGCAGGTGGATCACTTGAGTGATCCAGCCTGACCAACGTGGTAAAACGCCGTCTCTACTAAAATTACAAAATTAGCTGGGTGTGGGGGCAGGCACCTGTAAATCCTGCTACTCAGGAGGCTGAGGCAGGAGAATTGCTAGAACCCTGGAACCTCTGCAGTGAGCCGTGATGACACCATTGTGCCCCAGCTTGGGTGACAGAGTGAGACTCTGTGAAAAAGAAAGAAGGAAAGAGAGAAAGAAAGAAAAGAAAGAAAGAAAGAAAGAAAGAGAGAAGGAAGGAAGGAAGGGAAAGAAGGAAAGAAAGAAAGAAAATAAGAAAAGAAAGAAAGGAAGAAAGAAAGAAAGGAAGGAGAAAGAAAGAAAGAAAAGAAAGAAAAAAAGAAAGAAAGAAAGAGAGAAAGAAAGAAAAAGGAAGGAAGGAAGGAAGGGTCTTTACAGATGTTCAAGTTAAAATGAGGTAGGTCATTAGGGTGGGCCCTAATCCATTATGACTTATGTGCTGACTTTTAAAAGGGGGAGAAATGTGTATATAGACAGATAGTAGTAAGGGGAAGACAATGTAAAGACACAGGGAGAAGGCCGTCTACAAGCCGAGGAACGCATAAGGCTGGGAGAACGTAGGAGAGAGGCATGGAACGGATTCTCCCTCACAGTCCTCAGAACGTTCCAACCTGCCAAACGCCTCCATTTCAGACTTTCAGCCTCCAGAACTGTTGAGACAACACATTTCTGTTGTTTAAACCACCCAGTTTCTGGTATCTTGTGATGGCACACTAGCAAATTATTGCACTACACAGTTGACTTTGAATTAAGCAAAAGGGAGGTTTTCTCAGGTGGGCACAATCTAATCACATGTGCCATTTAAACTCATTTAAAAGAGTAGCCAAAGAGCAAGTCAGAACTATTCCAACCATGAGAAGGAGTTGATGAGGTGGCACAGGGGCTCTGAAATGGGGGGCCCCATGGCAAGTAACAGAGGGAAGCTTCTATAAGGTAACAGTGATCCAACTAAAGACAAGAAAAGACTAAATTCATCTAACAACTGCAAGAAGCGATTCTGCCAACAACCTGAATGAGCCTGGAAGTGGATTCTTTCCCAGAGCCTCCAGATGTAGGAGGCCAGCCTGACATGGATTCCCTGAGCTAGAGGCCCTGGATGAACCCAGGCAGATTTCTAACCTACAGAACTATGACATAATAAACAGGTGTAGTGTTAAGCCGCTGTCTGGGGTAATTTGTTATGTAGCCATAGAAAATACACCCTAGCTAGCAAGTATAGAGTGCTTTCTTCACCAGTCACTATTCTAAATGTTTTACATTCAAGGGAAAAAAAAAAATCCACAGCTAAGTACTGCCATAGGACTATTGTTGTCCCAAAGCAATAAAGATAAAGTTACAGCGGGGTGGTGAGGGGGGTGGGGGGGGTGGGAATTATGTGACATCTGAGGAACAACAGCCTGCAACAGACAGACGATAAACAGAACACCCTACTAAACAGAAAGCAGAACCAGTAGAACAGACAGAATGGGAATTAAAAATAAACATAATAAATGTCTTTATAAAAATAAGGAAGAATGTCAGGAACATGACGCATGAACAAGCAATTATGAAGAACCACTTAGAAATATTTTTTAAATGTAATTGTTGAAATACAAACATAGTAAATGGCAAAACAAATCATGCCTGATGGTCCAGTAGAAGCTTGGGGCACCATTTTGCAACCCCCTGTGAGAGTTAATTTCCAAGTGCGTAGAAATTACTGTCAGAAGTTTTTGAAAGGCCAAAAAGAGACTAAAAGATATCTTTAGAGGAGTATAATCTGAATGTTTAAACAAGATAATCTTTTAAGAATAGAGACTCTTAAAATAGGAATTAAGAAGTACTATATCTAATTTATTCTCCCACCCCAAATATCCCCCTGTATTACTAAGGCTAAATAAGCCTAGTAGATATGTGAGGAAAACTCAGAGCAAAACTTTTAGCCAGGTCACACATGTGATTTAGCTGCATCTTGATTCCTATGTAGACTTACAATTACCTCTCCTCAGGAGCTCGTAAACTTACCGTCACCAGAGCAAATAGAATATCAACTAGGCTGAAAGGCTCACCCAGGTGGGGATATTCCCAGGCAAATGTTAAGTTTTGGCCAATTTCCAGCCTCTGTTTTCCTCCCGTCCTCACAGCTTGTCCCAGGACTAACCCTGAGGGTCAACAGGAGGGATAAAGCATCGCTATAGATGGCCTAGCTCCTCCTTGTCCAATTTTCCCCTAGTTGAAGGAGAGTCCAACCAGGGTCCAGAAGAAAGTGCCCTTAGTGCCCTATCTAGTGCCACAGTGAACTGGACACAGAGGATGGAGAGCAGACATGCAACCAAGGTCAAAAGCCAGGAGCGTGTTACAAAGCAAGCCAGCTCTGGCAAAGGGGGCTAAGGTACTGTGAACCCAAAATATCTGAGACAGGTCTCAGTAAATTTAGAAAGTTTATTTAATCAAGGTTAAGGACACACCCATGCCACAGCCTCAGGAGGTCCTGATGACATGTACCCAAGGTGGTTGGGATACAGTTTGCTTTTATACATTTTAGGGAGATGTGAGACATCAATCAATATGTGTAAGATGTACATTGGTTCAGTCAGGTAAGGCAGGATAATTCTAAGTGGATAGTGGTGGGGGCCTTCCAGGTCATAGGTGGGTAAGAGACAAAAGGTGTATGCTTTTGAGTCCTTGATCAGCCTTTCACTGAATACACAATACACAGTGTATTCACTGAATACACTGGCTCAGTGAATCTGCATTTTTACATATACAGGGCAGAAGAAGCAGTCAGATATGCATTTGCCTCAGATGAGCAGAGGGATGACTTTTTGTACCTGTGAAGATAAGCTGTGAAATTCAACAGAACTGTTTTAGGGTAAAGATCTTGAGGCCTACAATGAATTTCCTCGTGGGCAAATTTTGAGGGAGGTAACTCGTATTCGTAGCTATCTTATTTAGGAATTAAAATAGGAGACAAGTTTGCCTGATGTAGTTTCCAGTTTGACTTTTCCCTTGGCTTAGTGATTTTGGGGTCCCAAGACTAATTTTCCCTTCACAGCACAAAGTCCAAATGCAGGAGATCAATGAATTAGGAAAGCCACAATTAAAGTAACTGGTGAACCAAGTACGAGCTGGACTGGAGAAGTTCCACTGACAAAGGGTACCTATCTGGGACAG